TTAGCTCCCTCTAGAATTTAATTGTGCTGCTCATACTTTCCTGAATGTTTTTGGTTTCCTGATAATCCTAGTGGGTTGAATTTCCAGACCCTTGATCATTCAGGGCTATTGCTGGCCCTCTCACAAGAGGAGACCAGCGAAATACATAAGAAGCCCTGGCTGCACCTGTCTCAAGTCTGGGTTAAGTAACCTCAATCTTTGCAACTATCGTTTCCCACCCCCAATAGTGTAGCAGTCTCCAGATTGTCTTCTGCCCCTGCCCAGAGTACTCCTTTTAAAACAGGAGTAAAAGGATGTCTCTTTTCTTCCTGATTAGCAACCTTAGCTTCTCCTATCACTTGGAGTGAAAAGCAAACTCCAGGTCATGGCCAACAATGCCTTGCGGGGTCTACTCTCAGTTACTTCTCTGCCTCATGTTCTGTCGACCTCCCACTTGCTCACTCTGCCCTAGTCACACTGGCCTCCTCGATGGCTCTCAGTCCTGTTGCACGCTATCTTACCCCAGGACCCTTGCACTGGCTGTTCCCCTGTGCCTTTCTCCTTCAGCGACTCCTGGTTGGTGCTTAAGTGTCACCTGTTTATTTTTCGAGGCCTTCCTGACCATGCTGTTTAAAACTGCATCTCCACTGCACCCCTAGAATAACGAATCCCCTTTTCCTGCTTTATTTTTCTCCTTTCCACCTAAAGACTATATGCTATTTATTATAGTTATTGTTTGTCTCCTCTTTCGAGAACATAAGAGAAGGGCAAGGATTTTTCCTGCTTTGTTCCCTGTTGTACCCCAGCACCTGGAACAGTGTTTGGCACATGGAAAGTGCTTGATTGGATGAGCTAATTGGAAGCTCCTGGGGGTTTGCTTGAGACCAGTGATTTGGGACATTCTTTCTGAATGTCTTTGTTACTACCTCTGAACTAGGCCAGGTAGAGCTTCGTGTATGCTTACTCTAAGGCCGCAGCATGTAGTGGTTCAGGGAGCTCTCTCTTTTCGGTCTTGCCTCATCTGAAAATAGGCTCAGCTTTTCCTTCTCCTTTTTGAAACACGCTCTGAGGAAAGGCTCCGAGGAAAGATTAAGGTAAAGCAAATATTATAGGGAGAAATGGCTCATGAAACGGAATGTGTTTTGATGCCCAGAGAAATGCACATCTGTACCAAGTTGCGAGAGAGTCAGAGTGTAATGAGTTCTTACTGAATACCCATGAAAGAAGCCAAAATTATGCTTTTTCTCCTAATTCTCACAAAGCGGTCAGTTATTATTATCCTTATTTTCATCATGAACAAACAAAGTTCATGGTCTACTGACATACTCAAAGGTAATGAGCAGCAGAACCAGATTTTGAACTCAGATTGTCCCAAATCCCATACTCTTTTCACGATACTTTTTCTCAAGAAATGAAACAGGGGAGGAAGGGAAGGGGCCCTGAGATTGAGGTCAAGGAAATATACAGAAGCACCAATCTCTTCTCCACCATTGTGAATTCTGTGTTTTCATAGTTTTATCCACTTGTGACCAATCCCCTTTTAGAAAGATTTTCCTCAAGATTGGGAACAGAAAGGGTTTTCTAGTCAATCTCTATTAATTTAGACTATTCATGTCACTTTGCTCTTCTCTGGGACCCACACTTTCTGCTCCAGGGTCCTGACTGATCAAGTATTACACTGCCATCTTTTATGTATAAATCAACTATCAGACAGATCATGAAATTGTCTTTGAAATCTTTGACTCTAACCCTTTCTTGCCTCCACCCAGATGCCCATGTGGAGTAACAGAAAGCTCTTTCTTTATCCCTCACCCGAAGGGGTGGTTAGGTTAGTGTGTTGGGGTCAATTGGTAAACCTGCATAGAGCCCTTGATTAAAAATAAAAATTTATTTACTAAACGGTAATTATGATCATAATCAGGTTTGGAGGTTCATTTCTAAAACCATGCTTAGCAACCCAAATTATCTAAATATCTATACTGATCAGCTGGAAAAACTTCAACACAGAAATTGCATCTCAAACTAGAGAGTTAATTACTAACAAGTTGATTCAAATGGGAAAGAAAGAGTTCAAAGAATTAGGCTGGGTATTCTTAGCTAGAAAATTCCCTCACACTTAAAAAATACATTTTTTGGGTGGGGGGGAATGGGTGGCGGGGGAAAAGGGTAAAAAATTAAGACAACTGTAATAGAATAAACATGATTTTAAAATTTTAAATAAAAGTAAAAAATACATTTTTCTTTTCATTATATGGGTAATATTATAAAACTTTTGGCAAATAAATAAAAGTTACACATAAGCTTGTCATAACCTATTCTGATGCATTCCATTCTAATCATTTATTTATTTGTTTATTGCCATATTTAAAAAAATATGTTTTCATTATCACATGCCTATATCCATCATAACTATTTTCCCAAGGGGTTGTCGTTATAACCCTGTAAGAAATAAAGTGAAGTTTTCATTATTAAACCAATAAACATTATTTTAGAAAAGTTGAACTACGATAAAAACGAAAATAGAAAAACAATATCACCTCTAGGCCTATTATCCAGAGACCACCAGTGGTGACAAGTCTCACAATGATCAATGACACTTTATTTTCTGTACGGTGCTGTTGTTACTTGCTTTTTAATAGATGTATCATCTCCACTGACTGATTATACTACAGTCTACCTAACCATTCCCCTACTGTGGAAATTTAGTTTACAAATTTTGGTAAACAATTTTCCTGTAGGATAGGTCTCTAGATTAATAAAAACTGAGTTTGGGGGTATAAATTGTTTTGTGGTTCTTCCCAAAAGAAGTGTTGTTTCCAGGGGTGGAGTGTGGGTGGTGATCGCTACCAGCCTATGGCCAGCCTTCCAGCCCTTCCTCCCCCTTCCACCCCTCCCCCCTCCCTTAGCAGTCAGCTTGATGGAGGTGTGGGGGTTCCTGGCTGCTGGCCTGGCTGTGTTCTCTGCTCTCCATGAGGCAGAGGTTGGTACCTTCTTCTTTGAAGTTTCAACTTATGTAAATAGCAGGTGGAACTCACCCACCCTCTCTCTTTCCTTCTGAGCCAAGAAGGATGATTCTTTGCTTTGTTTAGGAAGTTACCTCTGCTTGCTTAGGAAAACTTCAGAGCAGCTACTATGTCTTTGGCCTTCCCTCCTCCACCATCTCTCTCTCCAGTCTTCATCCTCACGTCGGGTAACCTGGTGGTTCAGGACTGTGTTCCCTACAGTGGGCACCCACCGAGAACAACTCCCTCACAATGACTCTGAAGTGAGAAAAAATGGGCCCCTGGCTCCTACCACTTCTGGCAAAGCCCCTTCATCTTTGATTTCATTTTTTTATATCTCCTTTAACCTTCTCATATGATTGTTGGGAAGATCACAGAAAATAATTGTGAAGTGTGAAGTGATATTCAAAGTGAAAATGTATTTATATTGTAATTATTCATGTTCTTGTCACCACATGCCATTAACCATCAAGGGAAGAAGTAGACTTCTTTCACTACAAGGTTGATGAATTTTGTTTTTTAAAATTGTTGAGTTATTCAAGTTTTTCCAGGGTGTATACTCTCTATTTAAATGCTTGGGATAACCCCAATTATTATTTTTTATTTAAATAAAAGGTAGAGGGTGCCCCTTAGTTTCTTCACAATGAACAGCACTATGAAGAAAACTGACAAAGAACACAGACTTTCTGAATAAGTAGCACATGACTTGCCATGCGTTGAAATTTGAGGATCAATTTAAGTAAATGACTCTTAATGACAAATCCAGAATAGCTAAAATATCACCGGCTAAAGATGTTGAATTTGAGTAGGCATAGAAAGTAGTTATTATTTTTTGTGGCATTTAGTAAAAGTGGCAGGTACACATCTCTGCCCGTTCTCAGCGGGGCCTCGTGTGTCCTCCCTGTTAGCGTCCTCGCTGCAGTCTGTCCGCACGCCACCCAGGACTGCCTGCCTCCTTCACCCTGCTCCGCCTCGTATTTCCTTCCTTAGCCCTCATCATTATATAATAATATATAAATTAGTTTTCTTTTATGAGTGTTGTTTATCTCCCTGTAACGTGAATGTAGGCTTTTATAAAGGGAAGCACTTTTGTTTTGTTTACTGATGCATCCCAACCACCTGGAAGAGTAATCGGTACCTGGTACGTGCTACATACACATTGGCTGTGTATTTGAATAAAAAGTAATTACACAAAACTATGAGCAGTAATTTTTACTGAGCATTTACCATGTACCTGGCAGTGTACATGTGTCATTTTATCCAGTGTTCCTGAAAAATTTATGAAGCAAGTGTCACTGTTATCACCAAATTGCAGATGAGGACACTAAAGGTTAGAAACATGAAAGTAAATTGTTTCAGGTCTTATAGCCGATATACTGAAGAACTTGGATTTAAATCCATTAAGCTTGACTCCTGTGGACCCTGTTCAAGCAGAAATCTGTTGCTTCTATATATTTATTTATAATATATATATCTATATATATAGATTCTATATTTATATAGAATAAAGCTGCTATAAACATTCCCATGTTTATATTCTATATATATATATATTCTATATATAGCTTCTATATATATTATTCAGATTCTATGGAGTTTCATTTGGAAATGGGGGTTTTCCTATGTAAATACTTCCGGTACACACTGTCCTAGACATTGGGACCAGATCAATGTTTTACTTTTGCAACTCTGGGCCATCAGCTGATTTCCATGTAATTAAATTCTGAGGCATTGGAACTATATCCCCACCTCTTGCCATTTATTACTGGGTTTTGAAAAAAAATTAGAGAGGTGATGGGCAAGGGGAGGGGACTGGGGACATCTGTGAACAATAAAAATAAAGGAAAAATAAAATGTAAAAACCCTGTGTAATGTTAAGGACTTTCTTCTACTGTAATTAAAAAAACCCTATTTCTCATCTGCTGCATTTTGTGTGCTGTGTGTTTTGCTCTGTTTTTGTGTTTTGTCTGTGCTAATGCCAATGTCTGTCCCCTTCACATGTCCAATTCTGTTTTCTAGGAGAATGATGTAAATCTGACCCACATTGAATCGAGACCTTCGCGTTTAAATAAAAATGAGTATGAATTCTTTACCAATCTGGATAAAAGTAGCCTGCCTGTTCTGGCCAACATCATCAAGATCTTGAAATATGAGATCGGTGCCAAGGTACATGAACTTTCCCGAGACAAGAAGAAAGATGCAGGTAAGAAGGAGAAGAATTTTGCAATTCCAGCAACTCTGCATTCTGTTTAGAAAATAATGACAACAATATCCACCCTGGAAGATCCTCGGGGGATTAAGTGAGAGGATGTAGGTTAGAGACCTAGACAAGTGCCTAACACATTTTAGACATTTAATAAATATTAGCTTTTTTCCTCCTTCCTCAGGATAGCTGTATCTTGTGTTCGTTGTCTTCTTTCTGTTGCTGCAGCTTTTATATATTTCCTTCGTGGGTTGTCATGCTCTTGACCTCCTACCTCAGGAGGTGAGATGGTCAGCATGACCAGGGTGCTTTCTGTGTAAATACAACTTCAAGACAAACTCTGTGCTTCTCTCCACTCCAGCCAGAGGGCTGTCCACACGTTCTTCTTGTAGCATGTTGTCTCTGTAGCTGGGGGGTGCCTGCCCCCTTGTCCTAGTGCTCTCATTGTCATTGTCCACCTCTTTGTCTGTCTCTTCCACTACATTATGAGTTTCGTATAGGCAGGGGGAGGCTTTTATGTTGCTATCCTAGGAGTTTAGCCCAGTGCGTAGAACGCAGGTGCTGAGCAAATAGTTGGGAGTGAACGATTAAATCGAGGAGTTGTCAGGACTTGCTCTCTCTGTCTCCTTGTGGACTTGCTGAAATGCTTCCCTCTGATGTCCCTTGAACAATAAGGCAGCAAAGTAGGACGATAAAGTGCTGGCATTGTAAGTATGGGCTGGAGTTGAACAGACTTCAGTTCAAGTTCTACCTCTTCCACTTAATGACTTTGAGACCCCTGACAAGTCCCTTTAACTGCTGTGACCTCAATTTTTTGTAGGGTTTTTGTGAAGGTTAAACAAGATCATACATAAAAAATGCTTAGACTGGAGAAATAGTAGTATGTGGTGGTTGTTACCATTATGATTATCGTAAAAAGAAAACAGAGGACCAAAGTGATTGCTTTTTTAGGATACAAAGTATATTCAGATAAACTATTTTCATTAGACTTTTTATCTGTAAAAGCAGTTTCATGCTTACTGAGAAATTGTGCAGAAAGTCCAGAGACTTCCCACATGCCCTCTTTCTCCTCCCCCTCCCCCACCCCAATTTCTCCTGTATTTAACATCCTGCATTAGTCTGCTACATTTTTTATAATCGATGAGCCAGAGTGTTACATTATTCACTGAAGTCCGTTGTTTACATTAGAGATCATGCTTTGTATGTACGGTTCTTTTGGCTTTGACAAGTGCGGGCAATGACTTGGTGATTGGCAGTGATGGTTAATATCATGTATCCATCATTACAGACTCATGTAGGTGTTTTAACTGCCTCCAAAATGCCCAGGCTCCACCGATTCATGTCTCTTTCTTGGTCCCTCCGGCAACCACTGATCTTTTTACCGTCTTCCTGATTTTGACTTTTCCAGAATGTCATGTAGTTGGAATCAGGGTATGTAGCTTTTTTAGACTGGTTTGTTTCACTTCCATGTCTTTTTGTGACTCAGCAGCTCATTTCCTTTTAGTGCTGAATAATGTTCCATTGTATGGACGTGCCACAGTTTGTTTATCCATTCGCTTATTTAAGAACATTTTGGTTGCTTCCAAATTGTGGCGATTATGAATAAAGCTGCTATAAACATTCCCATGCAGGTTTTCGTGTGGACCTGAGTTTTTAGTTCATTTGAGTAAATACTTAGGAAGGCCATTGCTGAGATAAACTATTTTTTTCTAAATAAAAAATGATTTTATTATAAAATTAAATTTTTTGTTTTTGTTTTTGTTTTTTGTAAAAACACTGGAGACTTTAGGTCAAGAGGATTTCAGGACCTAGAGCTGAAAATAGCATTTTCATAGGCAGAGACGCTTTAAGACGAGACAAGGCCCACCTCTTAGCACAAGGTACTGAAACAGTTACTAAGAGACACCTCCAAGGCCTTCCTAGGAGAACACGCTTCTTTTTCTGCCTCTGTCCCCCTGTGGCCATCGCGCAGACCAGGGAGTCCATTTAAGGCTCTGTCCCTTCCGAGTATGGACAGCCACGCTCGTGGGCTCAGGTCTCTGGGGGCGGCACTTGGAACTCCTCCTCAGATCAGCCCTGCCTCTCTGCCTCCCCCTTCCGCCTTCCAAGCTGCTTCCCGGATGATCGTCTTCTTTTGCGTTTCCGGCCACCTGCTCCCCACAGGAGCTGCAGGCTCTCAGGACAAAGGCGCTGCTGGACCCGGGGCCGAGCTCTGCTTCTGCCCGGAGCAGGTGGAGGCCTGGCCAGCTGGGGCCCTGGGGTAGGAAATCAAAGCAATTGACAGGCAGGCACACGGCCCCTTGGGGAGCCAGGGAAGATGTATGTAGATCAGATGACGGGCTGGCGGCCTGCACTGGAGGCTCAGAAAAGAGGCTCTTAACTGGCCGTGGAAGAATAGTTAGGAGCCCACGCTTTGAAACCAGGGCGCACCGTAGCTAGTGTAACTTTGGGCAAATTGCTGACCTTTACAATCTCCCAATGTATCCCATGGGAGTAACAAGTGTCTCTGTCTCCTAGGATTAATGAAATAACAGCAGTGGACCATTGAGAACAGTACAGAGCGTGTTCAAGGGCTTAATAGATGTCCTCTCTTTGGGCCATTATCACGATTGCTATAAATAACGGCCCGAACGCGGGGGCTACGAAAAGCCAGCCTGCACACAACTACTTTTTCAGAGATTCTGGGCACTAGAAAATGACCTCAGAGGTCATGCAGCCCAACAGACTCCTTAATTTTTATTGTAAAAAACAGAGGCGGCGTCTTGCCTTAGGGCACAGAGTGGATTCTGTGCGGCGGTGGGTGAACGTGTGTGGAGTGATGCTTGGGGCCAGGCACCGTGCTGGGGGCTGGGGTCAGAGAGGGCCACCCTGCCCTTCCTTAAGGAGCTCACAGGCTGCCGGCGCTGACACGGCACCCGGGTGGATACCACAGAGGGACAGGTGCTGCCGTGGAGACAAGGCTGAGGGAATTGGGTCTCTTCCCCAGTGTTTCATGTGAGGCGAGTGTAAAAGCGAAAAAACCACCCTGGCCACTCTGGCTCATGGGGTTGAGCGTCATTTCACAAAGTGAAAGGTCGCCGGTTTGATGCCTGGTTGAGGCACATGCCTGGGTTGCTGGTTTGGTCCCTGGTCGGGGTGCTTATGAGAGGCACCTGATTAATGTTTCTCTCTCACACTAATGTTTCTCTCCCTGTCTTGCTCCCTTCCTTCCCCTCTCTCTAAAAATAAAAAAAATAAAATCTTTTTTAGAGAATTGAAAAAGCCAACGTGTCACACAGAAGAATCGTGTTGTCAGTGTTGGGCTGATCAGAGGCTGGGCATAGCACAGGTTCGATTCCCCAGCAGGGCTCAAAATAGCAGGGCATTGAAATTTGACGTTGGGTTACACTCTGCCTAGTGGAGGAAAAACTGCTCAGACTAATCCTTTAAAATAAGGGTCTCGGACGCCCCATCCCATACTGGCTGCCCCTACCTGACACGGCTTCCTCACCTTCACTCCTTGTGACAGAACAGCTGCTAGGGATGCAGGTGATGTGGAAACGGCACGACCTTGTACCTGCAGAGAGAGATGGGCCCCATGGGCATCCGGGGTAGTTTTGTGGAGAAGTCTGGGCCCAGAAACAGATCTTTTCTAGGGTAAACAGAGCCCCACTGCTGAGCTGCTCTTTCTGCAGAGCTCAGTGGGAGGATGGCTGGAGGAAGGAAGGCACCGTGGTGGATCCGAACCCTTGGTTCTTTTCACTCCACAAAACGCCCTTTCTAGTGAGGGGCTCAGGTCTTAGGGCGAGTGTGACAGCAGGTTGAAGGGTGAGATCTGAACCCCTCAAATCAATGAGGTTAAACCTCCTGTCACTCTAGTTTTTAAACCATTCAAAGGGCCATCTGAGTGATAGAAAATGAAACTTTTCAGGTTCTTAATTGCCAAAAGTTCCCCACCCAAAACAGCTTAAGAGAAGGTTAATTACAGTGACAAGTTAAAAATAAACCCCAACCTTCTAAAATGCCTCCTGGAGAAAGTGGTGTGAGTTTAATAGGATTTTCATCCAGAGAGTCTTTTGAATGCTTGAGGTCTTTTCTCCGGCTCCTCTCTCTCCTGAGGACCTCAAATCCTTCTCCAACCCAACATAAAAGGGCATTAATATCTTCCTTCAATCCATCTCCTAATCCTTTTACCTTTCTCTTTGAGTCCTGCATGACATTGCATTTGGAGGGGGTTGGAAATTCCTGTATGGAGGCAGATTGCAGCCAGGAGAACAGACGGACCATATAGCTTGGCGAGACAGAAGTATAGGATCATCGCCTCTGGAGAAAATGACCTGTTGGGAGTTATTTTCTAAAAGCATTTTGTGGATTTTGTTCAAGTTGTGGTGATTATAATGGTCCTGGTGTGGAAGCAAAGGGAATCCAGATGGCTTTGTGGGGGCAGAAGAGCTATTTATTTTCCTTATCTACCTCCCTCCCTCCCTCCTTACCTACCTACCTATCTACTTATCTATCTAGCCTGGGGGCAATTAGGATTTTATTTGTCTTTTTTATTCGGACCAATTCATGAAGCAATGGTTTAAAGGAAAAAATCATTGTGAAAAAACAAAGCAACGTCATTATACTCATTTCTTTCCTCTCCTGCCCCCTCTCCCCTCCCAGCCCTGTTTGGAGTTTTCTCTTTTCTGCTTCAGTGTCGCTGCCCTGAAGAGCAGAACCACGAGACAACTGCAGTTTCAGATCATTTGTTGGGAATGGAGGGACAGGGGTCCTTGGAGGACTCTGAAAAGACCCTGAATTTGGGGCAAAATGGTACCCATGTGTGTGCACGCGTATTTTTAAGAGAAAAGGTTTTTTAAGGCCACCTTGACTCCTGAAGAGATGAGAATCTTGACAGATAAGCTACTTAAGGCTGGAGGGGGGTCCTGATGGCTGGGGGTGTCCCCATTCCCGCCACCTGGGCCCCTCTTTCTTCTCTCGCTTCCTCGGCTCCTCTGTTCTGCGTCCCCTCTTTGTCT